AAGTTCAAGGTCAAGGGACCACATCAGGTGAGGGCCTTCTTGCTGCCACATCACGTGGTGGAAGGTGCCACATGGTGAGAGAGGAAGAGAGAGCAGAAAAGGGTGCAGGAAGGGGCCAAACTCATGCACCTACTCCCATGGTCACCAACCCATTCTCAAGATAACAAACCCACTCCCACAACACCAGTATGGATCCACTCCTCAGGGCAGAGCCCTCCTGGCCTACTCACCTCCTAAAGCCTCTACATCTCAACTCTGCTGGATTCGCCATTAAGTGCAATGCATGAGCTTCTGGGCACGCAGTCAAATCAGAGCAGGCAAAGGAGCGAAGACCTCTCCTGAGAGGATTTGAAGAGGAATGCAAGGCAGCAAGTGACCCAGAATCAGAGTTGGGCCGTGAGCTCACACTGCTTGTATTCGAATCCTGTCTTTGCCACTGGACAGTGAGTGACCTTGGGCAATTTCTGTGATTATTTGATCAGTTGAAATCTTCATTTCCTCATCTGGGTAGAGGATGATAATCTCTATGGGTGGGTATTATCTACCCATAGAGCTGTGGTCAGGATGAAATGTGGCCATTGTGATAAGGTGTTTATAATAATAGTCGCCCACAGTAAGAAGCCAAGAGGGGCCGGCCATTGTCATCACTTTCAGTCGTGGGAGGTGAGCCTGTGAGGACAGTGAGGGACTGAGGATGGCACTCAGGATTCTGTGTGGGCCCTGAGGTGAGCCTGTGAGGACAGTGAGGGACTGAGGATGGCACTTAGGATTCTGTGTGGGCCCTGAGGTGGAGGAAGAGGAGACCTGGGGAGGTGCAGGCTGCAGGGGAGGCTGCTGAGTTCAGCTCTGGTCGTGCTGCATTTCAGTGCCCTAGGAGACTGGGACAGATGTGCAGGAGTCCATTGAGATAGCAGCGTGGGCTTCGGGAGTGGGACACAGACTGGAGAAGATTCCAGAAGCCTAGGCAGGGAGATGGAGATTGCTACCTGAGGAGAAAGAAGGGCTCTGTAGACTGGAAACCAGCCGAGCATTCCAGGAGCACCTGTGGGAAAGTGAGATGGAGGCAGGAAGTGTCTGAGCGCAGGTCCCTAGAAGCAGAGCCAGGGACAGGGTGGGCGCCTGAGAGATAGTGAGTCAAGGTCTCAGGAATGAGAAGCTGAGAGGGGAGGGGAACAAGCTGAGCAAGGAGCTGACTTGGTCTAAATCCATGAGGGGAGAGGGGCTTGGAGCAGAAATGCATCTGCAGAGCTGTCCTTCGAAACAAGAGAGGCCTCAAGCCTGTAATCCCAGCACTTTAGGAGGCCAAGGCTGGTGGATCACGAGGTCAAGAGATCGAGACCATCCTGGTCAACATGGTGAAACCCTGTCTCTACTAAAAATACAAAAAATTAGCTGGGCATGGTGGCACATGCCTGTAATCCCAGCTACCTCAGAGGCTGAGGCAGGAGAATTGCCTGAACCCAGGAGGCAGAGGTTGCGGTGAGCCGAGATCACGCCATTGCACTCCAGCTTGGGTAACAAGAGCGAAACTCCGTCTCAAAAAAAAAAAAAAAAGAGAGAGATTGAGAAGAGGCCTCCTATCATTCCTCTGTCAGTGGATGACACAGTGTGTGTGTCTGGAGGGCGGAGGGGAGGTCGGCGCTCTGGATTAAGGGGCGTTTGTCAGCCCAGGGCACTTCTTCCTATTCGAGGTTCCCATACTCACAGCAGCTGGGAGAAGGTGCGACAGTTCCGGAAAGGGGGTCTGGGTAGGCACAACCGCATTTAGACAGGAGGCAATACTGAATGCAATTATCAGCAAGTAACAAGCTCCGCCTGCTCAGATCTCTGGGAAGCAGAGTAGAAGGTGCCTCTAAGAGTCACTCTGCGCAGGAGTCTGTGTGGAGAGGAGGGGTGGGGGGTGCTTACATTGCAACTCCCCTCAGTGTTTGACCCCTTATTTCTCCACATGTTAATTCTTGGCACCTTTGGCTAGTGGGCAGAGTGAGCTCTGAAAGTCAGAAAAAGTCCCCAGGTAAAGATGTGCGGGGGCGGGCACTGGAGGCTGGGCAGGTGTGCAGGCGGAGGGGTCAGGCCGGAGGTGGGCAGGAAGAAACAGCGTCTGCTACAACTTTTAACTGAAGACACAAAAGCATCGGAGATGGAGCCGCCAGAGGTGGGAGGAAAATAAGAGGAACGGAGTCGTGGGGCTCATTTTCGCAGACGCTCTGGGAGATCCCTTTCGCCCTCTCCGGGCATCCTACCCCATTGTATCTGAGCACTTTATCCCGCCAGCCTGGGCAGCTGCGGCTCTGGGAAGCCCAGGAAGGGTGTTTGCTGAGCCTCCCACAGCCGGTCCAGCCTTAGCTTGGCGCGATCAAGGCACATTCGCGGTGGCGACAGAGGGGCTGGAGACCTTCCCTAGAAAATAATGAGCAGAGAAACCTTTACTGATTAGTTAAATCCCGCGTAATCCCGGCTGATGAAGACAGATTCGGAACCCTTAACGGATTTAGGGACCCAAAACGATTCCTGGGGATGGCCCGGGGCGGGGGCTGCCCCTCTGGCCATAGATTTACGGGTGATATCTGAGAGGGGGTGGGAGGGGGAAGCTAGAAGGAGCCCATTCTCCCCGCCGCCAGGGCGCGGAGGCGTCCCTTAAACGCGGCGGGTAGATTTGGCAACTGCGAGGGCGCCACAGGGACAGGTGGAGTGTGGGTTGATCAGGAGCCAGCCCTTTGTCTCTTGCAGACCTCTCCTAAACTGCAAGAAGCGCTTCTCTCTCTGGTCCTAGCCCACGCTGAGCGGATTCCCGCAACGTAGGACGCGCAAGTGGATCTCAAGAGCCCCGGCAGCCGCGGGGGGTGGAGGCGGGGACGCAGATCAAGCGCTGCGTCGGATTGGGGCATTTCTCTTCGCGGGAGGGCGAAATGAAAGCGTCCTTCTGCGCTGCGCTCCCGCCACCGCCACGCTGAGAAACACAATGTGACCCAGGACCCAACTCGTCCACTGCTGGGATCTTGCAGGCCCCTCCCTGGCATTGGGGTCCCGAGATGCGTTAGGAACGTCTCAGTCCAGGAATTTCAAGACTCCTTAGAAATTCTCCTCTTCTCCATCTCCGAGTTCCCTTAGAGCCCCAACACCGGCTCCTTTGATCGGGTCTCTTGCTGGGTTTCGCTCTCCCCACCTCTTTCTCTGTGTCGGACGTGACTGGGTTAATAAGTCTCTGTTGCTCTCACCTGCAAAATGAGTTTAAGACGATCCTTCCCGAGGGTTTGAGAATGGGGATGTTCTTGGCACTGCGCCGAGCTCACCGTGGTGGTCGAGGCTGGGTTCCTGCCGCCTGGCCTTTTGGTGTCTTTGGATCACTGGCTCTCTACTCGGGGTCTGTCACTCCAGTGATCGCGAACCTTCCAGGCAGACCTAGGGGGAGGGAGACCCGAAGCCCTGGCCCAGGTGAGGCCACTCGGTCGCGACCCTGCGCTGCAGGTGCGGCACCCGAGTCCGCCCGTGACTCAGGCTTTCCACTCGCGGGCGACCCCGGTCGGGCCACCTTAGAATCTACTGCCCTGCCTGCCTGACCTGTCGCGAGCTGCAAACTGTGTGGAATCGTAGGTATCTCCCTTAACTGCGACCCCAAATTCGGATTTGCAAACGACCACGCAGCCGCACGAAGAGCCAGAGCAATTCTTTCGGACCCAGTATGCCCAACGCCTTCTTTAAACCCAGAGATAAATCTGGGGGCATATTGGTCGGGGAGCCGAAAACAATTCTGGCATCTAAAGCGTCTCCCGCTTCCCGCCCCCGAGCTGGAGCAATTCAAAGACAATTATCGCAAAGGAAAGTTATTGTTTTGCTAATCCCGGGAACAGCTTGCAAGGAAAGATTTGGGTCTTCCTTTAGTAATGGAAAGTTAATGCGTAGCCTCCTGTAATTATCCTTATCGGAAGCCCTTTGTTTAATCTGCACGTTTAGCTGAGGCCCCACCGAATGCGCAGAGAGCGGGAGACCCACTTTTCAGGGCCGGGACTCGGGCTCCAGCCCGGCAGGAGCGCAGGCAGTCGCGCCGGGTTCCTCTGGGGCTCAGGCATTCGTTCCTCGGTCGCTGAGGGACCTCGGACTGTAGGGCCCTCAGAGAGTGGGATTTAAGAGATAGGCTTCCGGGGCTCTGGGATTGGGAAAGGTGGACTCAGGCATCTCAGCGATGAGGGTTGGTTGGTTCAAAGCGCGAACCAGGAGTGGCTAACCCATGCGCTCTGTGGTCAACTTTAACGAATACGAATATTTCAGATTATTCAAAGAATCAGGGTTTCTTTGAATAATCGGGAAACCGCACAATATTGTAAGCCTCGATGAAAAGTGCTTTCCAGTAGACAGACACTATTTTATTCCAATTTACCTCCCTCTACTCCTTCCCAATTTTGGGTTGCTGAATAAATACTGATACTTACTCCTACGGAAAAAAAAAAAAATGGCCCTCCTTGTTTATCCGAAATTCACATTTCACTGAACCTAATATGTTTTGTTCGTTAAACCTGGTACCCTGCCCGTCTCAGCCCAGGGCAGTTCACTCCTGCCTCTGCTTCTCTCCCTTTCCCCAGCTTGTGTGAGTCAGCGACCCCCTACAGCTCAGCCCGTGGAGTGCTGGGGACGAGCCTGGGGATAGATTTGGATGGAGGAAGAATGACCGAAGATTAAATATACGATTTTCATTCCTTTCCCTTTGGGGATTTTCGGAGAAGACCGTCTTGCGGGAAGGCCTTCGTGGCACCGGCGGCAGAAGTGGAGGGCTGGTTGGGGACTTACTGGTAGTAGCCATGGGGGTGTGGTTGAGAATGGGGTGCTAGGTCTTAATGGGCAGTTGGGTAGCATCAAAGAAGCTTCAGGGCAGCTGGGAGTGGGACCTCCACCCAGAGTTTGGAAGAAAGGAGAAGACCACGGCAGGATGTAGAACTTGAGGCTTTTCCAGGGACAGGGAGACAGCGGAGTCACTGCCCCTTCCCTTTTCTCCTTTCCTCCTTCCTAGAATGGGGGGTGGGGTGGGCTGGAGAGAAGAGAGGAGAAGGAGGTGACTGAGAGGACTGCAGCTGGGAGGGCGGTAACCGAGGGGAGGAGAACTGGTGGCGTCCCCAACTCGCGGGGTCCGGAACGGCGACGCGCCCGCGCCCAGCTGATTGGAGCCCTTCAGGCCTCCCGCGCCCGACCGGCAGCCCAATCGTATAAAGCTTCCTCTAAGCTGGGCCCTCGGCAAACGGGGTCCAGAGAGTTTCGCGCCTTTTGGCTAAGGAACCATGACTGGCCGGGACGCGCTTTCCGACGGCCGCACCAGGAGCAGGGCGCTGGTGCCTGGCGGTTCTCCCCGGGGCTCGCGACCCCGGGGCTTCGCCATCACGGACCTGCTGGGCTTGGAGGCCGACCTGCCGGCGCCCGCCGGCCCGGAACAGGGATCTGGCTGCGAGGGTCCGGCGGCCGCACCGTGCCCTGGCCCAGGGCTCGACAGCTCCAGCCTGGCGCGTGGGGGCCTCCCGCTGGGGCTCGGCCTCCTCTGTGGCTTCGGCGCGCAGCCTCCCGCGGCCGCTCGAGCGCCCTGCCTGCTCCTAACTGACGTGCCGTTCCTGCCGCCCAGGGGCCCCGAGCCCGTTGCCCCGCAGGCCCCCAGTCGGCCGCCTGCGCTCGGCCGCCAGAAGCGCAGCGAGAGCGTCTCGACATCCGGTAATCAGGCCCGCGATTCCCGCTCCTGCCCCGGTCCCCTAGGCTCCGAGCCGCGCAGGGTCACACACCATCGCCCCACTACACCCCCGGCCCCAGCGGCCCAGATCTAAGGGCAGCGGGGAGCCCAGAGCGAGGCCCGGTCGGGGGAGGAGCATTCGCGGAGCTGCGCCCCCGGCCCCTTGCAGCATCCTAAATTCCTGCCTCTCATCCGGGATCCTGTTTCCTCGGCAATGCCGGACCGCCACCACCTGGTGCCAGGTGGAACCCTTTGATGAGACCCTTGGCACCAAGGGTCTTGGGGTTGATGGTCTTGGCACCCCAACAACCATCTCCAGAAGGCCTTTTTTACCCTCAGCGCCAGGCGCCAGTCTCAGCCTCTGGCAGCGGCGTGGGTCGGGAAGGCCTGGGGCCTGTGTTGTTCACCAGCAGCACCGAACCTGGTACCAGGTGGAAACGCGGGCGGAACGGATCGAATGATTGGCGGCTCCTTGAAGAGCACCGGGCCTCGAGCCCAGGAACTGTCCGTCCCTCAGGGTGCTGAAAAGAGGGTCTCGGTTACCTTGCTCCTCTGCCGGCACCGCGGGCAGGAGAAAGAAGCAACCTCGGGGATTCATTAAGCCTAGAGTTATGTAGTTAGCCTAGAGATGTGTTCTCCGCCTACCCATCTCCTCAAAGAAATCCAGGCGGGTGGCGGGGAAAGAAAAGGAAGCAATGAAATTCTGTAAAGGACAAGGGCTAAGAAACCGAGTGGGTTGGGGTGTGGGAGAGAAAAGAAAGAATTACGAAAGAAAGAGTGGACTAGCGAAGGTACGTGGTAGAACCTAGAGCTGAGCATCCAGGCAGCCAAGGAAAAAAGAGTACACTGGGTCTCCTGTTATTAGAAGGAAGCATATCAGATCAACAGGCAGGCTCCACTCTAAAAGGACTTAATTTCATGAGCCTCTACGTAAGACAAAATGAAACTTCCTATCAGTGTCACTAAAAATGCAAAAACTGTCTTCATGGGATGAGTTCATTCTTCTATGAGCACTGACAAAATGAAAGGCAGCTAAATTCTATTCTGCAGGCATTTCTGAAGATCTGGAGCAGAGCTGTCCAAGTGAAATGTGATGTGATGACATGTTTGATGGAAGTTTCTCCCAGCCACATTAAAAGTGAAATGAATCTAAATACTGCATTTTAACCCAACAATATTCATAACTATTATCATTTTACACATAATCAACACAAAAATTTTACTTTTTAGGAGCACTAAGTCTTCTAACTCCATTGACTGATTTATGTCTACAGCAGGTCTCAGGTTGGACAGCCCAATACAGAATGTTTTAATCCAAGTCAGGTTTCTGGTGGACTAATTGATGTAGGGTGTAATTGATGTAATAAAACTATTATTATTTAGTTATTTTTGCCTTTACTCATTTAAAAAATATTTTGAGGAAATAATGCTTTCTTGCAATGAATCTCACAATAGTTTGGTCCTCTAACTTTCTTTTCCATCTAGACTTTTTGATATAATGAGTATAAAAAGGTAAAACAGAGCAGAGCGGTTCTCAAATTTTCAGGGGCAACTACAAATCATCTGAGCACACTTGTCAAGAAGGCGCCTCCTAGACCCCACCTCCAGAGAATCTGATTTGGTGCATCAGGGCAGGGATGCAGTTCTGACAAGCGTTCTGATGTCACAAGCCCTGGACTTCCTTTGGGAAATGTTGGTTTAGAGGTTAAGGTGATAAAACTATGTTTGGAAGCAGTGTGGGGACAGAAAGTCTAATCAGTGGCCGAGTAGCTCTGGCTTCAGATGATCTGGGATTTGAATCCCAACTTCACCATTTACTACCTGTGTGCTCTTGGGCAAATTACTTAACCATTCTGTGCCTCAGTCTTCTCATCTGTAAAAATAGAATGGTAATAATAGCAGCCGCTTTTGTGTTTTAGTGTTTTATTAAGAACACTTGAGATAATACATGGGCAAGGTTAAGCGCAGAGCCCGGGATCTAGTAGGTGCCAAAAATGCTCCTATTATTCACTACTCAAATACCCGAGAGGTTCATAACTTCACTCCTTACACTGAAATCTAGGAAATAAAAGGGAGAATATGATCACCTTTAAACTCCTTTTTGTGCCAGCAGATGAGGACAGCCCATGTGAAGACAGGAATGACCTAAAGGCGTCCCCCACCCTGAGCAAGAGGAAGAAGCGGAGGCACAGGTACAGGGCCAGGCAGTCCTCTCTGCCTGCTTTTCCTTGGGACACAGCCCAAGTTTTCTGGCACCTGCACCTGAGAATTTATGGCCCTGCATGATGGCAGGCCCAATGGCCTCCTGGTTGGCAGTGGGAAGAGCACAGAAGCCATTTGGGAAGACAATTTTGCAGTCCCAGGAGGCTGGGAAAATGCTACAGTCTTGGTAGTATTTTTTTCGGTAGCATTTTAAAGACACAATTTTGTGGGTCTGTTAGATAGATTTTGCCAGAATGAATGGATGGAATTCATTAAGAAAGAGCTAAAGGACTGTTTTTGTTTGAATCAAACTTCTGGACTACATCAGCTAATCATTCAGAGATGGGGTGTCCTGTTATCATGAGGTGGCTTCTGAGGTGTTGACAGTGGGGGAGGCAGGCACGGTGGTCCTTAAGGCCAGGGAGGCTGCTTTCCCCAGGGCACTCGTGCCGACGTGTGTGTTTTGGGGTCCCTGCAGGACAGTTTTCACTGCTCACCAGCTGGAAGAGCTGGAGAAGGCGTTCAGCGAGGCCCACTACCCTGATGTGTATGCCCGAGAAATGCTGGCTGTGAAAACCGAGCTCCCTGAAGACCGGATACAGGTGTTGGGGTCCCTTTTCTCCTTTTTGAAGACACATAGAGAACGTGTCATTCCCACGCTCAGTCAGCCAATCAGTGGTCCCTCTCTACAGCTTCCTTTGCACAGAAACTGAGGGTCCCTTAGCTGAAAGCACCACAAGAGCATGTCCCTGTGACCCTCATGCCCTTTTTCCTTTTATTATTATTAATATCAAATTATTCTTTAAAATCACGCAATAATGTGTGTTGCAACTAGAAACTATATAAAGATATGCCAATGGGGTGGGGGGGTGGAGACTACCTCTCCATGTTAAACCCTGAAAGAAATCAACATAAATGCCTGAGGAGACCTTTCTGCACTTTGTGGAGCACATTACCTGCCACTGCACATGTACGCGCATACACATATCTACGCGCATACACATATCTACATGCATACACATATCTACGCGCATACACATATCTACATGCATACACATATCTACGCGCATACACGTATCTACATGCATATACATATCTACGCGCATACACATATCTACGCGCATACACATATCTACATGCATACACATATCTACGCGCATACACATATCTACATGCATACACATATCTACGCGCATACACATATCTACGTGCATACACACACGCTCACATGCATAGGTGGAAGTTTGCTTTTGTCTTTGCCAGAAGATATGTCACTCCTTTTTAACAGCTACACCATATTTCATAATAGTCTTTCACTAACATAATGTTTTTCATGAGAAATATCACCAAGCAATCCAATAGCCTAAGCTTGGAAGGAGCGATTGCCCCAGTGAACGCTTCCCAATCAATGAGAAAAAGAAACCCTGTAATTGACCTCTTCACACAATGTGGGAAAAGGGAGTTTGATTCTTTAGTTTATACATCCCTGACTCTATGGAAACTTCAGTGGACGTGGTCACTCGTGTCCGTAGCGCGCTGAATGCCCGTGAGTCCGGAGTGCACGTGGGCGCCGCTGGGGGCTCCTGGGTGCGCTCCCCGGGGGCGGCTGGTTGGCTCTCAGGAGCTATTTCCTTCAGAAATAACATGGGATCGTGCTGGAGCGAGGAGCTCTGAGCCCAGGGACGCCGCCTGCGCTCCTCCAGGCGCCCCTCTTCACTGTCTCTTCTGTGTGCCCTCTGCTTTCCCTCCTGCCTCCAACCAGGTCTGGTTTCAAAACCGCAGGGCCAAATGGCGCAAGCGGGAGAAGCGCTGGGGCGGCAGCAGCGTGATGGCCGAGTACGGGCTGTACGGGGCCATGGTGCGCCACTGCATCCCGCTGCCCGACTCCGTGCTCAACTCCGCCGAGGGCGGCCTGCTCGGCTCCTGCGCGCCCTGGCTCTTGGGTAAGAAAGGGCCCCCCGGGAGCCTGTGGTTCCGGGTGTTGGGGGAGGTAGGGGGATCCCCGGGGGTTCCCACCGAGGCAGCCGTTTCCAAAGCAAGGCAACGTCAATTTACTGAGATTCAGGCCCAGAACCTTACTTTTTATTTTTATTTAATAACAAAGCTTGCAGCAACTGGACGGTTGCCTCATTTTTCACAGAGACTGTCTAGGCTCTGTGAAAAAGTATGCTAAATATGTATTTGGGATTTAAGGGTAAAATGACATCATTGCATTATGTGAAATATGTTTCCCAAGTCTTGAATGCTGTTAGAATTTTTAGACCATATAATTTAGGGCGCTTAGTAATAGGACAGGGCAGTGCCGAGCAGCGACCCCGGGAGACAGTGAGCCCCTCCATCTGAGTCAGGAGGGCTGGCTGCGGGCTTGGTTCTGCCATGAACAACCTGCTGTGTGGCTTTTATGTCCCTTAGCTGTTTGGTGCTTAAACAGTCTTGCTGCTGAGGTCCAAACTTCGGGGTTGGGCACTCTCAGGCGGCTCCACCCTTGTTGCTCTGTTTGCTGTTGCCAGAAACTAACAGGCAGGGATGACAGATTGTGGGAATGAGTCACAGATAAGTACCTCCGCCAGGATTAGTTAGGAGGATCATGGTGGTGTTTTAGGTTTGGATGGAGGAAGGTTTTTGCTCAGCGAACAGTTTTTGAATAGCTACCAAGCAGCCCTATCCTGGGCACTGGAGATCCCAATCATAAACATGTTTTGACTTTGCTCTCAAGGATTGAAACACTAGAGAGGGCATTGTGGGCAGCGACCCAAGCCAGCTCATCTGAAATTGCACAAGCAGGTTGGGGAGGGCACGTGCTGGCATCCGCGGGACCGCAGCCTTGGGGGAAGTGGACCCAATGCCAATCACCATGTCATTCAAAGCACCTTTGCTGGATGTGACCTGGGGGGCAGACACCTGCTTTCAACCCCTAAGGTGGGAGTTACCTGCCTGCCTCTCCCGTAGGCCCCAGAGACAGGCACTGACAAGGATAATTCTAATGGGATTTAGAGAAGAACAACCATAAGAAAATGTTCTTCATTGGTGAATTTAAATTTTTATTTTTCCTTTTTTGTTGGAAGGGATGCATAAAAAATCCATGGGGATGATAAGGAAGCCAGGAAGTGAAGATAAGTTGGCAGTACTCTGGGGCTCTGACCGCCTCAAAGAAGGTTCTAGCCAGAGTCAGGCAGGACCACAGAGAGGCTCGGATAAAGTGAGCCCTGAGAATGCCTTGGAAGATGTGGCGATGGACCTCTCCAGCTCTGCCCGGCCGGAGACCAAGAAAGTGCACCCAGGGGCTGGTGCTCAAAGAGAATCCAACTCCACGGCACTGGAGGGGTCCCAGCCAGGGAAGGCGGGAGCCGTATGAGACCAACAGGTTTCACCATCTAAGGCTGAAAATGTGCATATTCCTCACTGGCATTTTCCAAAAGACAAAAGTGGTCCAAGACTTAGACTTTCAGTTTGATTTTCTTCTTACAACATCAAGATAAAATGCAATGCCACTTGCTTTAAGAGGACAGATGAGTGACCTAAGGAAAATTCTATTTCATTTTAGAATGGAAACGGTTTCTTAATGGCACTTGAACCAGTTGACTTGGTGCAGAACTTTTGATTCTCTTTTGTAACTTGGGCAGGGAGGAACTGAAGTTTAAAAAGCATTTCGCTGCCGGGCGTCATTTGAGATGTGTGTTTCAATGTACTGTGTAGATGAATAGGTTCGGTCTTATCTCCTCATTCTCAATTAGGAAATATAAAATTCTTTAACCTCCAGAAAAATCTGATGTTGTTGTAGTGAAGACTCCACGCAGACACATGAATGAATTACGCTGTCTTTACCTTGAACTTGGCCTTGGGCATTTCAATTTTCAGGTTAGGCAGCAATTCTGTGTTTTCCTGAGTGTCACTTGATAGGCTCATCTCGGGACTCAGAGAAAGCCACACTCTGGGCGTGTCTGCATTTCCTTCAGAAACAGCATGAAATAATGTCTGAACAATTGTTGGATATCTGGAAACAGTGTTTTAAGTCAGACCAGGCTTTTGGTCTTTTAAAACTCATGATTGAAAGCACTTTAGTGACCTGGATTTTGTGAATGTTTCCTGCACTTCCTTTGCCATTTATTTATTATTTAAAAATAAACGTTTGTGGTGTGTTTGCTTCTCAAGGTACTCCCTCTATTACACACGTGCACAGCTCCACTATCTCTGATTTCAGCCGGGCTCTCCCCTCAGCCCTTCTCAACCTGGGGGTGTGTGGCCTCTATTGTACATGTGCACACCTCCGCTACTTCTGATATCGGCCAGGCTCTCCCCTCAGCCCTTCTCAGTCTGGGGGCGTGTGGCCTCTATTGTACACGTGCACACCTCCGCTACCTCTGATATCGGCCAGGCTCTCCCCTCAGCCCTTCTCAATCTGGGGGCGTGTGGCTTCTATCGTACACGTGCACAGCTTCACTATCTCTGATTTCAGCCGGGCTCTCCCCTCAGCCCTTCCCAATCTGGGGGCGTGTGGCCTCTATTACACACGTGCACACCTCTGCTACCTCTGATATCAACCGGGCTCTCCCCTCAGCCCTTCTCAATCTGGGGGTGTGTGGCCTCTATTACACACGTGCACACCTCCGCTACCTCTGATATCGGCCGGGCTCTCCCCTCAGCCCTTCCCAATCTGGGGGTGTGTGGTGCATTTTATTCATTCTTCAGGTTGCAGCTCTTACCATGTGTTGCTTTGTCAACTCCTCTGAGGCAGCAGCTCTGTCTGATTCACTCTTTGGAGTTTGGAATGCAGAGAGATACCGTCTAGTTGACGGGAAAATATGGCGCTTCATGAAGAAGACAGGGCAGTGCAAGGAAAGTGTGGAACGTCCATGTGTGAGGGCTTTCTCCGGAAATGGGCACGGCGATCTGTCAGGCCAGGCTTGATGCTCCCATCTCTGCTGGTCAGAAAACAGAGGCTCTCTCCCTTTGGCCTGCGCTAGCACCACACTCATGTGAAAATTAAACATCACCAATTCCTTCCTGTAGCAACAGAAAATGATGAGCCCTGTGCTCTTGTATTCATTCTGGCTGCAGAGATCATAACAGGCCTGAGACTGCACCGATAATGAACAGTTGGTATGAACGCTAGAAGTTTTGTCTTTCCTGTGTAGACAGCAGCCCTGGCTCTGGGCTCTGTGGCCACACTGGTTCTGCCTTCCAGAGGGTTCTCAACACATTTCCTCATGTTTACTCCTCAGCTGTTGCAGCCATCCCTCTTCCTTAGCTCACCCAGGATTGAGTTTGGCAGAGGGAACCAGTAAGCTCTGCAACGTGTAAACATCACACTTAGGCAAACAGGCAGCTGCTAAAACTGCACCAGTAAGGCGCATTTATTAACGTGGACTCATGCTCACAAACTGCTGCTGAGTAAAAAAGTCCCTAAATCAAAGAAAAAAGATAGAATCAGAAATAAACACACTTGTAAAGCAGAATGAAAATGAAATAACAACCTTAACAACTGTTTTGCATACAAAATATACAAGTAGTGGACAAATGTCTGTGTAATGTTACAGAGAGAAAGGAGACATAGAAAGTGGCACAAGAGAAAGGGGCTAGAAGCACTGACGTAAAAATGGAAGGGTGCTTTCTTAACAAAAGGAACTCTCTTCAATGCGGCGGGTTAATATTTTATAATGTGCACATACATACGTGTGTATATGTACATGCATGATACGAGAGCGTCGTCTTTGAGGCGGCTTTGCCACCTCTAGCCACGTGACCTTAGATGAATCACGCCACCTCTCCGATCTCTCGGTTTTTCAACTGTCAAGTGGGGATAACAGCAGAATACTCATTTTTCTGAAGATTAAATGAGATGACATGAGTAATGTACTTGGCTCAGTTTCTGCTGTAACCGAGGAAGGAGCGAATTAAATATTAGCTATTATTACTGAAATCATTGGCATTTCTATTAATATCAAAAACAAAAATGAGAAAGCTTGACAATAGGGACCAGCAAAGTACATCATGGAATAATAGCTTGCGGGAATGGTCTGCATCCGTAACCCGAGACGAACTCTAGGAACACGCAAACCGTCATCCTAAGAGCAGCGCCCGCTGCATCACTGGGCTGCTTTCTCCGGGGCTGTGCAGGGACCGGGAGCTCAACTGGCCACGCCCCGCAGAGGACAACCGCTGTCCTGTGTGACTGGAGGCTGCAGATGAGAATGCTGAGCTGCTCCAGACCATCATCGGGAACCCGGGTGATTTCTGCCCTTCTGCCTGCCATCCTTAGACTTCCCTTCTCAAGCTTGTCCCTGCAAGGTCACCGGAGGCTCCCGAAGTCCAGACGTTGCAGTGGAGACGACTTATGGCCACACTTCATGGAGGCGTAAACCCCCCCACCTGCAAGCAGGCTCCCTGTCACTCCTCATTGGTCAGCACTGCACGTCACGCTCAAGCCAAGCAGGCTCCCTCACTCCTCATTGGTCAGCACTGCACGTCACGCTCAGGCCAAGCAGGCTCCCTCACTCCTCATTGGTCAGCACTGCACGTCACGCTCAGGCCTAAGCAGGCTCCCTCAGTCCTCATTGGTCAGCACTGCAAGTCACACTCAGGCCAAGCAGGCTCCCTGTCACTCCTCATTGGTCAGCACTGCACGTCACACTAAGGCCTAAGCCAATCATCACCAGCCAGGTGGGCGGAATTCCTTGTTTGGTTCAGTCCAATCAAAATTCACCTCTGGTGCTGAGGCTGTGGCCCGCCTCCCCTTTTTTCCCATTAACTAATGTAATTGGGCCCCTTCCGATAAAAAAGAAAGGGGTCTGACTGCTGATCATCCCTATGGAGGAGGTAGTGTGTGAGATATTGAAAGAGAAAACAACAAACATGTGCATAAAGAAGACAAAAGACAAAAATTCTTTAAAATAGTCATAATATTTTTCAGATAATGAATAAATGGATACTTTGAATTTTTAAAATGTTCTAAGTTTTGTAAAATTAGTATGTAAAAATAAAATAATAATATTATTAAAATATTAACACCGCTGTCCCGATATAGGGTTAAATTCACATGAAACAAAAATGCTTTAAAAAAATCATATGGGCTGGGCGCTGTGGCTCATGCCTGTAATCCCAGCACTTTACGGGGCTGAGGTGGGCTGACCACCTGAGGTTGGGAGTTTGAGACCAGCCTGACCAACACGGAGAAACCCGTTCCAATTAATGAAAGCAAATCGGCCTCAAGGCAAAGAATTTTAAACTTACACAACATTGAGTTTGAAGAAAAAAAAAATCCTCCTTGGTGTGACAAAGCACATTCCCTCCACATGTATGACTCCCGCTCCACTCACACCAGTCACATTCCCTCCACGTATGTGACTCCTGCTCCACTCACACCAGTCACATTCCCTCCACGTGTATGACTCCCGCTCCACTCACACCAGTCACATTCCCTCCACGTATGTGACTCCTGCTCCACTCACACCAGTCACATTCCCTCCACGTGTATGACTCCCGCTCCACTCACACCAGTCACATTCCCTCCACGTATGTGACTCCTGCTCCACTCACACCAGTCACATTCCCTCCACGTGTATGACTCCCGCTCCACTCACACCAGTCACATTCCCTCCACGTATGTGACTCCTGCTCCACTCACACCAGTCACATTCCCTCCACCTACATGACTCCTGCTCCACCCACACCAGTCACACTCCCTCCACATACATGACTCCTGCTCCACTCACACCAGAATCTATCAAAGGCAGCTGGAGGCCACTTCTTGTCTCTCCAGTAAGATTGCTAGGTTTCAGTTCCTCAAAATGTCAAGCCAACAATGGTTTATTACATCAAATGTTTGTATCGTTTCAATTTTTTACACCTATTTATTATTAAGGGCTCATCTGTGAGATAAGTCACAGAAAAACAAAGAGGTGAATGGTATAAACCACTGCTCCAAAATTAACCATATCAATTCTCAATTCCCACCATGTACCTTTGTGAAAAGGGGTAACTGCCAACAAGTTTAACCTGGAAGACGATTACTCAAACCCAGTCAAAACCCGTATTGAGTTCAGATCAGGCAAGGAGTTCACAGGCAAATTATTGACTCTTGTGTGTTCAGATCTAAAGCCCTGCATGGGCTCTGTCAGGTCCTTGTCACCTGCACTCAGGTGGCCATCAGACTTCTTGGGTGCCTGGTTATATTCAATGCGAAGTAAAAAATATCCCAAGTCTTACACCAAAACAGAGGCTCTGATTTAGAAGTCTACTTTTAGCTTTCTTTTTACATAAGACATTCTGGAAAAAAAGAAAAAGAAAAAGTAAGAAAATCAAGTTTGAAACACAGTAACACTTATATTTGGCAAGATAGTAACCAAAATCTACAAAGCATAAGCTGTGTATCCAAATGTAAAAGGCATTAAAGAGCAAACGGAAAGGGGGAAAAGCCATACTGAAGAAGATGATAGAGTTTGTCTAACATTCTGGAATTGTAATTAAGCCCTAAGGCCAAAAGCTGAAAAATTATGCTTAGGTGCTAGTAAGTGTACCCTTCCCTGTGTCTTCCAAATAAAATCAGTTTATTGTTTCATTGCACCCCAAAGCAAATTCTCTCGATACAAATAACTAGTACATACACACAAAACGCTTGGTAATGTCATAATTTCCCTGGCTCATCCAATGTGCAACGCAGATGACTTCAAAGGCTGTGATTTGAGGCAAGTGTACCTGAAATGAGAAAACAACTCTCCGAGTCTCAAAACCTGCTCTTAACTTACAGGACACTCAGGTCATATTTACTTCTTGGTAAGATGTTCCATCGTCATTTGATTATCATCTACCTCACAATGTACATTACCAGATGCCAATTTTTAGTGGGACTAGAGATAAAACTTTAGTACTGTATTTCTTAATGTGCCGAATAAGGTAATTACAGGTAAGTTTGCTTTCCATTCTGTTGAAGACCTCTTTCCAGCCTCAGCACCTAACAGTAGCCAGCAGGCTCCAAGAAGGCTCATCAGGAGAAATGATGGCACAGCATCTAAAAACAGAGCCAGTTGCTTCAACCTAAGTCATTCAGAGCCAAACCTCAGTAGAACGACTAATATCAAATCTTTATTTGATGTTGGTAACTGTATAAATGTGATCCAAATACGTCATCACGAGTTCTTCAAAAAGAAACATGCTATAAATAAGCAAACTACA